GGTCACCACAGTGAGTTCAAGAAGAAAATGCTCTGAAATTGATGGCAGGGATGACTGCCCAGAGCATCTTAATGCAATTGAACCATTCAATTGAATGATATGTGAAGTCTATCGGCCCCGCCCAAAATGTTTTTTAAAGAGCTGGGCTCAAGACACACCATACTCTCAACCTACCTCATTAACCCCCCCCAAAGAAAACCCATCCCCAAGCGGGGTGCCAACCACAAGTTTAGGGACAAGGATTTCCAACCCATATCTTTTGGGGGGACACAGTTACATCCACAGCAAGGGGCGTGTCCTGAGTCAGGGTGCTGGTGTTTCACATATCAGATCGGTCCTAACAGGGTCAGAAGGTCCAGGGGCTGCGTGTGTATCCCCATCGCCGAGCACAATGTCCCGCATAGAGCAGGCCACCGCCAGACACGTGCCAACCGGATGATGGACCGTCGTTCTCATGGGGAAGAATTTACACACACACACAGACACATTTCAGGTTCTGTTTGTTTGTTTGGTGAGAGGAGGGAAGAGGAATGTTTACAGACAGCCCTGAAGCCACATCTCCAACTCCAAAGGTCCCTTATGGGGAGGCAAAGCTGCGCCCGACCCTCTGGTGTGGCAGGGTGCAGACAAGAGTTCCTGAAAGCACCCCGGAAGCTCCCTGCGTTGCTAAGATGCCTGGTGTTTTCATATATCCCTGTAGCTCAGTGGGCTGTGTTCTCTGCACACGGCCTGGGTGTGTGTGTCTTGAATGTCATTCATCGCCACTGTCCCTCAGACACATGTGTTCAGATCGAGGCTGTCCAGGTGTTTTGTCTTCTCGGTGCCTTTGTCCCCGAGAGAGTGTGGATGCCAGGGGCCATGGAGTCGGTCCCACCGTCTGTCCAACGAAGGAAGCACTGCCGGCCCTGCGCCCTCCCAGCCATCGTCTGTGTGCCTGAGCCCCGTGGGTCAGTCCACCTTGTCGAGGGTCTTGCTCTTTTTTTGCTGGCCCTCCATCGCTTGACCCCTAGAGATAGCATCACAAAATATCACAAAGCAGGGTGGCTTCAGGGACAGAAATGTATTGCTCCCAGTTCTGGAAGCCGGATGTCAGCCGAGTTGATTCTCTCTGGGGGCACTGGGAGGGGGGACTGTACCAGGCAGCTCTCCTCCTTCCTGGTGGCTGCCAGCATCCCTGGTGTCCCTGTGCTGTCGGTGAAGCACCCTGTCTTCCTGTCTGTCTTCTGCCTGCGAAGGGTGGCTTTCACATCTGTTCTTCTCTTTTAGGAAACAGCTCTTGGGGGAGATGAGCTCTGGGACCCACCCTGCTCCCGTCCGACCTTGTTAACGAAGAACCATGACCACACAGGGCACAGGAGGACTGCTCCCTAGGGTTTCTGAGACAGTACATCTTTACTGGAGCGGAAAGCCTCTCCTTTCTCCCTTGGAGTGGCTGGTGGTTTCAAACTGCTGACCTGATGGGCAACCCAGTAGGGAATCTGCTACATCCCCAGGGCTCCTTCTGTGTGCAGTCAGAGCAGTCATAAAATCAGCCTCCTAGAGCTGGTTTGAAGATTAGGAGGGAAGATGCATCTGACGTATTTACCATGACGCCTGGTACAGAGTTGCTGTTATTGTTGGTCTTTATGAGAGCGGAGAATTCAGAGTGACCTGCTGGAAATGGAGGCTAGAGCGGGGACCAGACAGGGCCAGCCCCAGGTGGGCTCCGTGGGTCAGTGTGGGAATGAAGTACGTCTCGGCCCCTTCAGATTCCCAATAAACCAAAGGCAAACTCACACCACAGAATTGATGCTGACGCACAGTGACCCGTAGGACAGGGTCGACCTGCCCCTGTGGGTTTCTGAGACTGCCTCGCTTTACAGAAGAAGAAAGTCTGCCCTTTTTCCCAAGGAGCCACCCAGGGTGCCCCAAGTGGCCAACCGAAGAACCAGACCCTTTGCTACCAAGTTCATTCCGGCTCGCGGGGACCTGTGTGCTAACAGAGGAGAGCTGATCACAGTTTCCCAAGCTGTCATCTTTGCAGAAGCCCGGGCTTCCCAGCGTGCTGTCCCCGGGAGGCCGTGAACTGCCGATCTTTAGTAGAGGAGTACAAATTGCTCATGCCACCCGGGGGCCTGTCCAGGTGGCCATTGGCAAGGAACTCGGAGTTCCCATTTGCCACATCTAGCCTGGATCATCCTCCCAACCCTAGGGGCCTGTCTTCGAGTGGATAATGTAAGACACAGGTCCCTGGGTGGCATCAGCGGTTAAGCTCTCAACTACGAGCTGAACTGGAAGATGTGTCTCAGAAGCGGCCCTGTCCATTTGCTTCTGAAAGGTCACCACCTAGCTGTGGAAAACCAGTTCTCCGTCTGGAGAGGACAGACGTTCGACTCTACTGGGCTGAAGCCTGCATTGTCCCCTGTGCAGAAGCCAAACTTTCCCCAGACCCCAGGCAGTAGCACTTCCTCTCGGCAGGTCCCCAGCAGGTCGGGCGGGTGGGGCTGGCTGTGTGGGTCACTCCAGAGGCCCTTCACCTTGCTCTGACCTGGTACTCCACCCCGGTCCACTCGTTGGGCTGCTAACTGCAAGGACAGCAGTTCAGAACCAGGAGCTTCTCCAAGGGAGACAGACAAGGCTTTCTGCTCCCATGAGCAGTTAGTCTTGGAGACCACAGGGGCTCGCCGCCTCTGTTCTGTAGAGTCGCTGTGAGTTGCGTTGACTGGACAGCAATAAGATCCAGCGAGTGACTGCTGTTGCTACCAGGGGCATTTGTGGCTAAAAGGAGCCCTTTTGTAACCCATGGGACATATATCTCCCACCTACATTTTCAGCCTCTCATGTTTCTTGGGGTGATTCTCTCCGGTTGGAGAATGTGGGGGGATGAGTATAACTGTGTATCTGAAGAAGGGAGCCTCACCCCACCAGCTTTGCAGCCAAAACTCTCTTGGGATATATATACATGTCCCACATAATTATAATCAGTGTCCGTATGACTTCAAAAGAAAATTCCCCCTTGACCTCAGCATGCCTTCCATTCCTGAAAACACATGGTGCCAACCAAAAATCTGAAGCAGAGAGCAATTCGGTCACGAGAGGATCGCGCTTTCTCTCTTTCATTTGCTGCTGTTTTGTCTTTCCATGTGTTTCTTGAAAAACACATTTAATAAGTCCTCACTATACACACACACATCCATATTACTGAAGTAATGGCTATGTACTTCATGACCTTATTCTAATGATGTTTATGTGGGAACTTGATATCTTGGGCTGATTTGACAACACGGGGGTGGGGGGGGCACTCATTCCTGTCATCAGTTTGACAGCCCCCCTCCATTTCCATGGTGCACACGTGTGTGCTTTAAAGCAATGCTTTTTTGTTGCTCTTGGTGTCTCCCCAGACTTCCCGACGAGCATCTGAAAGCCATCCAGGAGTACCTCACGACGCAGCTCGCCCTGGACTGCGAGTCTGTGAAGACAGGCTCCGGCGGCCTCCCGCACCTGAAGAAACTGACCACGCTCCTGTGCAAAGAGCTTTATGGGTAAGCGCACGGAGGCCCAGGGTGGCAGAGAGCCAGGGCCACAGCTCCTTCTCATTAGCATGACCTTGGGGCTGGCCTGGCCGACCAGATGCTCTGCGCCCAGAATAATTGGGCTGTTGCCAGAGCTCAGAAGTCTTTGTGGCTGTTGGGAGGGTCTGTTTTGTTTTCCAGCCTTTGAACGGAAGCTCTGTGGGTTTTTCTGTTTGTTCGTCCTGTTTTTAAGGCAAAGTTGATTTGAAGCTGGCTGCCCTGGGTCAGGGAGTGGGCGTGAGGATGTTCACCCTGCCTGGGGGTGGGGAGCGGGTGGGAGGGGGGTGTTGAAGCAGACTACACTCATCTGGCTGGTTAGCATTCACTAATGGGGCACTGGTGGCATAGCCGTAGAATTCTCACCTGCCATGTAGGAGGCCCCGGTTCGATTCCCGGGCAGTGACTTACTTCATGTGCAGTCACCACCACATATGATTGGATAGCAGCGTCTTGTTGTGATGCCCAGCAGATTTCATCAGAGCTTCCAGACTAACACGGACTGGCAAGGAAGGGCCTGTGTAGTATTAAGTCAAATTGGTGGGGTGGGGTGGGGGGGGCAGCCCCACCCACTGCTACTACCCACGGGTTCAGTAAGCACAATTGTACCGTTGAGATATACATATATATGTATGTATATATATATTATATTAAAGTCATCGAGAGCATGAGAGATAAAAGAGATACTACAATGGTGCAGTCAGACACATTACATGGTAGCATTGCTCACCTCCGCCCCGCTTGGTGGTCCTCGTGGGAGGAACCCGGCTACGAGAGCAGGAGCAGCCTCTCTCCTGGCCCGAGAGCCAGAGAGGGCCCTGGGAATCGGGGAGAGCCTTCAGCCCCAGAGCTGGGGAGAGCCTCTTCTCTATTGCTAACCACACATTATATCACTTTAGGGGGACATTATAGAATCACACGTCACAGGAAGGGGCGGTACAACAGGCATACACATTGTAGGAAGGGGATTATGATAGACATAAGTGTAACAGGAAGGGGATGAGCTAGGGGTGTGCCCATAGGAATGGGAAGGTCTAGGGGTATACATGTGACAAGATGGGCGGACCCTGGATTCATGATGGCAGCCTAAGCTTGGTCATCCTTGGGCGGGTTTGACCTCTCTGGTGTCTCCTACAAGGAAACAGACAACTACTGTCCTTACCAGAAGGGAGTGGGCCCTGCTTGTTGTGGGATAAACAGTGGTGTCTGCTTGGTCTAGACAGCTGATAGCTCTCAGGAGAATGACCCCCAATCCACTCCTGATGACCGCCAAGTGTACAGTCATTCTCAAGCAGCTAAGTCTGGCATATATTTGGGGGGGACAACTTGAGAGGAATCCTTCTGTTTCCCACAGCCCTGAAAATCAGCCAGCAAAGGCCCTGTGGATCACAATGTGGAATCCCCAACCAGTCAATCCCGGGGTGGTGCTGGGCGGGCAGTGTGATGCTGGAGTCAGCAATTCGCTGGAGGAGGGTCCCCCTGAGTCAGGTCCACTGAACAGCACTTGGCTTTCTGCCTGTGTGGTAAACTCACTGCCATCCAGTCATTGATGGCTGTGTTAGTCCAGGTGGATTAGAGAAACAAATTCATATACACTCATATGCATGTAAAAAAGAGGTTTATATACAAGAGCAATTGAATATTGAGAAACCATCTCAGCCCAGTCCAGAACAAGTCCATAAGTCCAATATTAGCCCATGTGTCTGATACCAATCCACAAAGTCTTCTTCAGACTCACAAAATACATGCAATGATGCTGAATGCAGGAGGATCACAGGCCAGTGGGTGGGAAGTCTTGTGGATCCAGTGGCGTTGAAAGCATCTCAGCGCTGGCAGGGGTCTCTACCTACGTGGCTTCTCCAGCTTCAGAGGTCTGGTTGCATCAGGGTAGTTCCATGTGTCTTGTCAGCTGCAATGTCTCCCAGGGAGTGAGCAGAGAGAGAGAGGGGTGTCTCCCGCCTCCCAGGAGGAAATACAGGAGTTCCCAGAATCCTCAGGAGAAAGGCCATGCCCACACAGAGGCCTCACTGGCTATGACCCGATTGAAACTAGACTCCACCCCTTCACTCTTAATCCTTTCAAGTCCCAAATGGACACCAGATTATGTAACTACCACAATGGCGGGTAGCCACCCTGTAGGACAAAGTAGAACTGCCCCTCTGAGTTTTAGAGACTAACTAATTGTGACTAACTAAAAGCTCTCCCTCAGAGCTTCTAATGGTTTCGAACTGCTGACCTGCAGTAAGCAGCCCAATCTGTGGCATAACCACTATGTCCCTAGGGCTAGCCCCACATGACCAGTGATGTCAGTAGTTTAAGTTTTCCAAGAATGAATTCTTGGAAGGACCATTTGGTTATAACAATCTGATTTCTTTCCGATTCTTTTGACTGTACAATTTTCAGTTCACCTTCACGTTGATTTCATGCCTTATTAGAGTTTAATTGTTAAACGTGCAAGATTACAGCCGGTCTGCCATCTGAAGACTTAACGAAAGGCTGTTTCACCTGCTTAAAGCTTGAAGAGATGGAAAACAACGTTCAAAGGCATCCGAAAGACTTCCTGAGGACCCAGAACAGGCCCATCCCATATGAAAGCTTGAGCCTTGGGGTGGGGAAAAGAGAATTTCAAACGCAATTGCGGTTTCTCCAGCCCATGTGATTCTGCCATTCATGCTGATTTCGAGAGCCCCCTCCTCAGTGCCTCGGACTCCATGCCTCAGTCTTAGCTGAGTGACTACGCAGACATGTTTCCTTGTCAGAACTCAAACTGGACCTTCTTTTGAAGGCTTTCAAAAGCATAGTTGTGCATCCTTGGTAAATTCAGCACATAGTTTCTTTGACAAATTGATCCTTCATCAAGTTTACCAGTCAGGTTTTATTTCAGTGAATTGGGAGTTCAGAGACAGGGTGCAGAGCAGAGGCTGGGTGGTCTCATGGAATGGGGGCCGGGGGTCGGGTCCTCTGTGAGGGCTCCAGAAAGACCAAGGAGGGGTCCCAAGCCCCTTCCTGCTATCTCTGGGGCCTGTCCCACCAGGGGCCACCAGGGCCCCTTTGGCTTGGCTTCCCCCAGAGTCTCAGCTCAGTCCGCCTTCTGGGATGTTCCCAAAAGCTGGTGACAAGCTTTCCAGGATCCGGATGACAAATCCTTTTCCAAACAATAAGGCTCGTTCTTCCTGAGTCTGCCTGACACTTCCAACAGCACTGTGAGGGAGCAAGCAGTTACATGTCTCAGGATTATAGGAAGGTTAGCTATATGGAGGGAAAGAGCAACGTGCTGGGAGAACATCTTGGGAAAGAATAGCAAGGGAGATGAGCAGGACTCAGAAATAATGCTTAACAATGGGTTCTTTCAGCTGGAATTCCTCCGTCACATGACTTTAAACGGTGTGGCCACCATGTCAGCTGATGGACGGAGCAGAGCTAGCATTTATGCGTGGCACCCAGGAAGCCTGGCTGCCCTGTGCTGCCTCCCCTGCCCCAGCCAGAACCCCTACTCCCACCCAGGCCCCTAGGGACTCCCAAGGATAGCGATTCCAAACCTCAGAATCAGAAACAGTTGCTCTGGGTGCACAGAGGTTAATCACTCAGCCGCTACCCAACAAGGTCTACTGTTCAGACCCACCAGTCGCTCCACTGGAGGAAGGTAAGGCGTCTGCTACCCTAGAGATGGACAGCCTCGGAAACCCCACCAGGCAAACTGACTCTGCTAGAGGGTCGCTGTGTGTGGGAAACCACTTGCCGGTAGTGAGTTTGGTTATGGATTGGTGGGTTGGTTGGTTGGTGGTGAAGGGGTCGGCTGTTGGCTGATGGGTGTGAACTCCCGGCTGCACAGTGGGAGAAAGGTCTGTCAGTCACCATTCCTACAGAACCTGGCACCGACTCCCTGGTGTGACACAGCCCTGGGCATCGTGGAAGCACCGTCATTGTCCCCTGTGCGCAGCTGTCTTCAGACCACGGTCTCTTTGGGGCTCACCAGGGGGTGCCCTCTTCTGAGCCAGGCTCCCAGGTTGAGAGGTCGGAGGCGGCCACCCACACCTTATAGCTGAGATCATCGTCAGGCTTAGGACGCCTTGCAGGGGTGGGATTTCCAGGAAGCTGCATGAGAATCATGGTTGCAATGTGATACTTCTAACATGGATACATATCATCAGGAGAATAGATAGATAGATAGATAGATAGATAGATAGATAGATAGATAGATAGATAGATAGATAGATAGATAGA